TGCCCCTCTCCGACTTTCTAGTGAGCGCAAACACCTTATAGCAAAAACCTCTCACCCACCCCCCAAAAGAAAAAATTAAAAAATAATAAATAAAATTAAATAATTAAAAAAAGAAAGAAGGAAGAAAAGTTTCCCAGCAGTCTAAGTGAGCTTCCCGGGCGGGGGTCCTTTCAGCCTTTCGACCTGGGCCATTCTCCTCAAGGGCCAGCCAAGCTAGACCGGCCCACTACACCCTCCGAACGCCGCCGCATCCCTGCTGCGGACCACCATGATGGACGTGGGCACTGCTCTGTTTAACACTGGGTATATATGACATACCTAACATATGCTGTGGAAATGCGGTTTTCTTCCCCAGAGAGTTTGTACTTGAGGGGAAAAAACGTGCTTGAAAACAACACCATTTACCTTCTCTAACCTGATTATTAATTTATTGACTTCGACGACATAGTGGTCAATTCTGGCAGCTCGGTGTCTTTTGAAGTCAGAAAGATGGCTTCGCACCGCACCTAGGAGGGAAGGCAGAGACGTGGGTGAGTGGTGGCCCTCTGAGGGAGCTTCTCTTCCTTGCTGCTCATTCCGAAAGCAACGGAAGAGTCTAGGACTTGAAGCCTTACCTGAAAAGCACATGCAAGGGACTCTGCTAAAACTGGAGGCCACGGAGGGCAGCACGAGAGACGGGAGTTCTGCAGACGAGACCTGGGACTCTGCAGCCAGCCTGTGCTCAGGTTTCAATTCTGCCAGACATGCACGGCCGCGGCTGGATGACTGACCCTCTCTGTAACCTGGAGTACTGGCCTCGAAAGTGGCAGGAACAATATCTATTTCTTACGATTGTTATGGATTAAGCAAGTTAAAATGTGTCAAGTCTTTAGGACACTGGCATGTGAATGTTAAATAAGAAGGGCAGTAACATTGTGGATGACTTTTTTAATTTTTATTTTATTTATTTTTTTTTACTAGAACAAAAACAATTCTTCTCAAGGTGGCAAAAAAAAAAAAAAAAATTGTAGGGATCAGCAGTTAGCTTAATGGCTATGTCACTGGACTCCCATGTAGTCTAATGCAGTTCGTGTCCCGGACCCGGTGGCTTAAACTCACACCAGGTACATGTGCGTGTGTGCCCAAGATCCCGAGAAGAGAATGGAGGAGAAGGGATTGCCGCGTGGCCATCCCCCCGGGAGGGGTGATTCCTCGCTTTTTATCTCTCTGTCTCTTTCGGGCAAGCGCACGTACCCTATTGCAAAAAACTCTCAAAAAAATGAAAAAAGAATTTTATTTATTACTATTACTATTTATCATTATTTTACTACAGGGCTCATTTGCTCACCAGAGACAGAGAGCCATGTCTGAGACTTGAACGGTGGTTGGTCACGTGGGAGTCCAGTGCCTCAACTACACCACCTGCTGGCCCTGATAATAAATGTTGAAATTGAATTGAACAATCTAACTCTTCCAGCTTTTTTTTTTTTTAAAGAGACAGATTTTGGGAACCAGCAGTTAGCGTAATGGCTATGTCGCTGGACTCCCACGTAGTCGACCGCAGTTTGCGTCCCGGATCCGGTGGCTTAAAACTCACGCCGGGCGCATGTGCGTGCGTACCCAAGATCCCGAGAGGAGAATGGAGAAGGGATTGTGGCGTGACCATCCCCCCTGGAGGGTGATTTCTTGCTTTCTGTCTCTCTGTCTCTCTGTCTGTCTGACAAGCACACACGACCTATAGCGAAAAAACCTCTCCAAAAAAAAAGTAAGAGACAGATTTTTTGTTATAGGGCACACGCACTCGCTGGAAAGACAGAGAGAGACAGAAAGTAAGAAACCACTCTCCCGGGGGTATGGCCACAGCACAGTCTTTTCTCCTCCATTCTTCTCTTAGGATTTTGGGCATGCATGCACACGCACACACGCAGCAGAGTTTCAAGTACCGGGTCCAGGACTCCAACCGTGGTTGACTACATGGGAGCCCTACGTGGGAGTCCAGCGACGTATCCATTACACCATTGGCTGGTCCCAACCCTTCTAGCTTTGTTCTTTTTCAAAATTATTTTGGCTAGTCTGATCCTTTCCCACGCTTCATGAAACTGAGAACAGGCTCACAATTTTAGGAAGAAAAGACAGCTGGGATTTCTAGTAGTCTGTACTGAATTTATGGACCGGTCCAGGGGTAACCGGCACCTTGACGATATTTCATAGTCTACAACACGAACATGAAATGTCTCGTTTCCAAATCTCGTTTTTCTCAGCAATGTTTTTAGTACACAAGTCTTGGTTTTATTTTGTTAAATTTGTTCCTAATTATTTTATTCTTTCTGGTGATACTGTAAATGGAATTGTTTACTAAATCATTTTGGATTCGATATTGCTAATCCACAAAACCAGGATTAGTTTTGCATGCTTACTTCGAGCCTGTGATAGGTTTTCTGTAGATCTAACATATACAGCATAATGTCTTCAAATAAAGATAGCTGTATTTCTTTCAAATATGAATGCAGTAAAAATTGTTTTGCCTTACAAAAAATAAGAAAACTCTTAAAATCTATTCTTGAGCCAGCTCTGTGGTCTGGTGAAGGCAGCCAGATGCCACACGGCCAACCCTGTGGTTCAAGTCCCAGACCTAGTAGCTTGAGAAACATGCCTTCTCTTTTTTTTTTTTTTTTTTTTTTTTTTGGAACTTTTTTTTTTAG